GTGCATTCATCATTGTAAGGGGTGCTGCAGTGGTTAGCGGATATTTTCGCATCCAGAAAATATTTGCAGGTAGTAGGATGAAAGTGACTTGCATATATCACCGGAGAACATCAAGAGCTAGAGCGACCAAACAGAGGAACACTACTTTGTATATGAACACAAATACACAATCACGAATTTGTAGGAATCTAACATTTCCATTTATGATTATGCGCAAAAGAGAAGTCTTTACTTTTACAAAAAATGAACGCTGAAATCTGTTTTCGAACCACTGATTGTAATTGGCGTGTTGATAAATGATTGACATTGCAGAATGCCATTTGTGCGCTTGTGGAAAGCATTTAAATACAAAGTAAAATTTATTTATATTGGAACACATTTGAAGAAGAATGCGAACAGATTTTTGTTTATTCCAGCAGTATGAGATGTTGCAGATTGCACTGGCAAATCTGCTATGATGGTACCAGACGAGAGCAAGTCCTTTTTAGAAAGTTTCTATTGCCTCTTCGTTATTTAGGCAGGCAGATAAGGAATTGGCAGCTCCTGTTCTAAGATAACCAGACAGATGTTCTTGGTCTGCATCAGGCCTGGAGAGCTTGTGACTCATTAAGCCAAACACAACTAGCCAACTATGCAGGGTGGCCTACTAAGGTCTTGGGATAAAAGCCTGTTTGTGCCTGAGACTGCAAGAAATTGGAGGTATTAAGAACCTAGCAGACCACAGCGCATGTCTGGTGTGTTGATCTGGACTTGGTGGGTCACCTGCTGGGCAAACCTGACATGCATGGAGCTCTTGGCTGCTTTCAAATTTGTTTTGCCCTCCTGCTTTCTCCCGCTCAGCTCCAAATACAGAGTTTGGAATAGAAAAATCAAAGTGAAGGCTGTGCTTGAGCCTGTCCACATGTGGTCTTTGAGCACATTTCTTGCCTTTACTGCATTTTTTGAGCAGCACAAGGAAATCATGGAGCCCCATTCTGCACTATGCTATTTTCAAAAGCAATATATAGCTCTGATCTTTACCTTCCCTTCACCTGCGAATCACCACAAAATACGTCTAAAGTTCAGGTAGGAAATTCACACCTCCTTTCCATGGAGGCGCAGATTGCAGCTATAACAAAGGCGGCATTTTTCCATCTCCGCCAAGCTAAGCAGTTGGCTCTTACCTCTCGCCCTGACCTAGCCACTTGGTCCATGCGACGGTCACCTCCAGACTGGATTATTGTAACTGCTTCTACGTGGGCTGCCCTGAGACTGACCCAGAAACCCAGCGGGTGCAGAATGCTGCAGCGAGACTCCTTACGCAGGTCTGCCACAGATCACATTCACCCGGTGCTATACCAGCTGCACGCTGGCTCCGGTGGAGTACAGGATCAGGCTTAAGGTGCTGGTTTTAACCTTTAAAGCTCCCATACGCCTAGGACCCTCGTACCTACGGGACCGCCTCTCCTGGTATGCCCCACAGAGAAACTTACGGTCTCGAATAAAAACATCTTGAAGGTCCCAGGCCCCAGGAGAAGTTAGGCCTCAACTAGAGCCAGGGCTTTCTCGGCAGTGGCTCCGATCTGGTGGAACACTCTGTCACAAGAGACCAGGGCCCTGCGGGACTTGACACCTTTCCGCAGGGCCTGCAAGACAGAGCTGTTCCACCAGGCCTTTGGCCAGGGCACAGCCTGACTCCCTCCCTCGGCAATCTTCGCGGAGCTCTGGCCCAATGGTTGCCAGTGGCTTGAATTAATTAATTTTATAACGAATGATTTTAGACTGTTGTTTATGCTGTACTTTTGTACTGTTTTATTGTTGTTAGCCGCCCTGAGCCCGGCTTCGGCTGGGGAGGGCGGGATATAAATAAAATTTATTATTATTATTATTATTAATTCTGACTGCAAATGACCTATTTTACTCAATAATTGGGGAAAACCCCCCAAGAATTGTGAGTTTATCTTGCCCTGTATGTTATGCCCTGACTGAGAATGTAATTGCTAAATATAATTGTGAGATTGAGTCCACTTTTCAGCAAATTTGCTTTACTGCTCTCTTTACTGTTCTTCCCTTTTTCCTTTCTGTCACCTTGTAATCTCTATTCTCACATCCTTTGCCCCATCTTTACATGAAACTTGATTTTAACTCATCTTATTTTGCCATCCTTTCCTCATTCCATGGTTCATTGTATTCTGTAGTTATCCCCCCTCCCCTTGAGGAGTTTGAAAATAGCCAAGAACAATGTGTTAAAAAGCGAGGGTTTTGCTAACTTCTTAACCAATTAAACTCTTGGTAAGCCATTGCTGGTGATACGGAATTGATCAGTTGAGTCTGTTTATATGCCATCTTTTCATAACGAGAAGTGCCCAAAAGCAGCTTACAACAAGCTTTCCAAATGTCAAAATACAGAGCATGGGGTTGGGAGAAGTCAGTTAACAAAACATATCAATAAATTCAAAAAGGACAAAAATCAACACAGAATATATCCGATACTACATAAGATATAAACTAGACTTAAATACAAAGCAAAAGAAAAAAGTGGACCATAAAATTCTAGGTACCAGTGTAGCTGCATCCCAGGGAACAACCACAGGCAACACGCGGCTAATAATGTTCTAAAAAATATTTGTAGCATGTATTATTTCACAATTCTTAAACAGAAAATATCCCAGGGAACATCAGCAGCCTAGCTTAATTAAGAGGGGAGTGGACTTCTCACCAGGCTAGATGACATAAACCTGGAAAAGTCTTCCTTCCTTTCATTTTATTCATGGGTAATTTACAACTTGCACAACAAATCAAGATCATAGTGACCATTACGATATAAAACTCTTTAAAACATCAAATAAAAATTCCTCACAAAGTTATGGTAATACAGGAGAATATCTATGCGCTCATTAGCAACTATCCATGTTACACCCACACCTTCCAAAGGCCTGGGCAAAGAGGGATGACATAAAGAACAGCACACCACAGGGCACATGGAGGTGATTCATTTTTTTAATTGGCCTGGCTAAGTTCAACCATCCTATGCAATTGTTTAAGTACTTTGCTAAGTTTAACTCACTTCTTTCAGGATCAAGCAGCCTCCAATATAGCCATGATTTTGAAAGCTCCAAGGAGAAATATCCAATTTTAATGCTGTAATATAAGATAGCATTACGGATGATTGTGTATAGTACCAAGGGTTTATAGGAATAATTTCTGCAGGTCTGTAATGGTCTGTAAAGTTAATTACAATAGGATATAACAGGTTCTTGATACCTTAACTCAAATGCTTTCCCCAGAAACTCAAAATCACATGGAGAGTTTAATACCACCTTATCCTATCTGCTCTATCAATACAAGGTGGCTTTTGAGGTGCTAAATGTCTATAAACAATATGTTGAGGTGATCCTACCTCAGAAACCTACTTTAGGCTTGCGGTGTTTCACTTTCCCTCAATTCACTTTCACTCGGATGGCAAAGACTCCAGTGCCATTTTAATGAAACTCTTAAAACACAAACATCACCAGTCCTCATTGGATAGGCAGGATGAAATTCCGTTGTTTTAGTAGAATACATGGAGTATGAAATGGTACGTGTTAGGGCAGAAAGTTTTGCATATTGCTTAAACCCATTTTTGGGCCAGATATTACAAAAGTATGGAGGGTTAAAATGCTGGAAATAGGAGCTTTTGAATTAAAACAGGTGTAGGGGTGTCTGTGTTTGTGAAAGTATTCAGAGTGAAATGAAAAACATTTTCATGGCAAAAGATGTTAGTTGGATGTTGTTGGATGCTGTCCATACAAGAAGCAGCAGATTTGAACAGCAGCTGTAGGAACTACATCACAAATATTCTGCCTTTGTTGTGGGTGGGTTTACCTTTCCCCACACTCCAAGAAATGAAGTATTAAGATCTCTCTCTCTCTCTCTCTCTCTCTCTCTCTCTCTTTAAAGCAAAAGCTAAAAAGGAAAACTTCATCCACTGCTAGTTTCTGCAGGATTATAAGCTTAAAATAATGCTATAATGCAAAAATATGAAATGTAAATATTGAGGGAAACGTATTAATCAGTGTCTGGTCCCCCAAGGCCTCCTGCCAATAATGTAAAGCTTCTGTTGACTTTTGTGTCTGTGTGTGAATTAAATAACTATTCCTATGTCCAAAAACAGGGAGATGAGTGTAATGAGTGTCCTTCACTACCTCGACAGCTGGCAAAGGAAGGGGCAGAGGAGGGAGAGGGACGAGAGGCTTCTCAGCATTTCTTCCAGTTTTTAACTCTTTGCCGTGTTGGTCCTTGGGATTCCGTGGCATTAGCCGCAGAATCATGGTAAGCAGTCAATGATGTTGGGAAGGGATTGCATCCTCGATGATACGTTTCTCTTGTTGTTTAGAATGGATAGTGCGAAGCCCTTCCATGTCTCTATGCTGTGCGACATGACACTTAGTTCTTTTCTTTGGACTTGCCGTCTTTTGTTGATTTGCTTTTTATGGAGAACCCAGAAGAAGTTGTTGCCAAATTATTGCACTCCAAATTTTTCTGTGTTGTCCTCTCACATTTTTTCCAGACCTCAATGACAGTGCTATAAAATAAAATAAAATAAAATAAAATAAAATAAAATAAAATAAAATAAAATAAAATAAAATAAAATAAAATAAAATAAACTGCAGTGCTGATCTGCCCAATGTGGATAGGCTAGGTCAGGGGTCAGCAAACTTTTCCAGCAGGGGCCGGTCCACTGTCCCTCAGACCTTGTGGGGGGCCGGACTATATTTTGGAAAAAAAATAATATGCCCCACAAATAACCCAGACATGCATATTAAATAAAAGCACACATTCTACTCATGTAGAAACACGCTGATTCCTGGACCATCTGCAGGCCAGATTGAGAAGGCGATTGGGCCAGATCCAGCCCCTGGGCCTTAGGTTGCCTACCCATGGGCTAGGTGCTACTGTTGGTTTTTTAAAGGATAGTTGTGTCTTCAGTTGAAAGTTTATTTCTTTCAAGTTCAAAGTGTTCTTCTATTTCCTCTTTAGTATATCTGGAAGATGAGGGATGGAGTGCTCCCCATGGCAATGGGTGGGTAGATAAAATTACTGATTTTCTCCCATTATTTCTCCTTCACCTTAAAAATATATATATAATAATTTTATTTGTACATCCCCCCCCATCTGACTGGGTTGCCCCAACCACACTGGTGCTTATTTTGCTATAAGAAGGGGAAAGTAATGGATGGAAATGAGTACATAATGTTTCATCCCTGTGTGAGCAGAACCTGACAAAGGGAAATACATGACTGAACAGGAAGAAATTAGAGAGCAAGAATTTATAAGGAAGAAGCCTTTAATTAACATTGGAAAGGGTCCCTTGCTGGAGTTATTTGAGAGTAAAACAAATAGAAGAATCTTGGCCGTTTTAGATAATGTGTTAAATACTGTGTAGAACCTCTGGGATGTATTTAAATGAATAATTGCACTAGCAGAAAAAAGTGCAACAGATTCTTCTAAAGCAAAGGAACCCCCCCATTTCCCATGCCCCACCGCACCCTCCTAAAATCAGCTCTGGAAGGTCAGGAGAACCCCAAAACAGTGCTTGAGGAGAGGAAGAAGAGGGATTGTTCTGCTGGGCAAATGTATGATCTCCTTCATACAACCGCCTATTTTTAATTCCACCTCCAGCTCACTGAAGTAATGTAAATGCCTCTGCAATGCTAAAGGACAGTGTTGCGGAAGCAACAATCCTTTCCTTGCTGTTCAAAATCTGAAATAATTAAGATTCATCAGGATAATTGGACCACAACTGAGACAGTTGTGGCAGATGCAGGGCTTCCCTGGAAAACAGGAGTCCAACATCTTGTTCCCTCTTCCCCTGGTAATAATCTAGATTCACAAAGTATGTGGTGCACCCTAATCTTGCTTTGGAGTTTTCCTACCCCCACCAATGAAGTTGCAGAAGGAGTCAGGGCAACTCAGAGCATGAGTGTCAGAGGAGAGCAGCTAATTTGTTTTGTATCATTGAACATCGTGAAAGCTGTTGAGAACTGATTCATAACCTCACCTACCCTATCCTGGAGGATGCTTTGGGCCATGATTGTAGAGAGTAACACTGGGATGCAACAGAACCCCAGGAACAGGGTTCTAAGCATTGCATTTCTGTCCTATGTCAGTGTTGTCTTGAATAACAACAGGTTTCTACCACTGCCACCACCCTGATTATTATTTTTTAAATAATTGAAGAGAAATGTGGAAACGAACAGTATTAAGTGCAGCTCTGGTAGATTCTGAGTTATGGGACAGGCCTTGTTTTGAAGGCAGGTCCTCCTAATGTGGTGGGTTAGACAGCAGCTTAAAGCACCAGTGTTGGAACATGGATTAGGATTGACCCTTCAGATCTTGGAGCACCATCCTAGCTTGTTCTTGGTTTGTCCTCTGCCACTAACTTCCATGCAGCTACCTTCCCTGCTCAGCCTTGGGTGAGTCATGGAACTGTGGTAGGCAATGGGTAGTGTCTTTCATTTTTGTATTTCATGGGCCTTCAGCTGCCCAAAGATCTTGACTCAGAGCCTCAACTTGGGTAGCTGTTGTGTCTTCTCCCCTCTCTAATATTGTGGAGCCATCTCAGAACAGCCTCCTCCCTTTTGTTGATTACCTCCCCGATACAAGTTGTCACAATGAGCTCAGATAGTTGTCGTGGAAGTTTCCTTTCTCATTGGCCCAGGCTGCAAATCTCCCGACTTGTTAGCATAATAACAGAAGTATTTCAAGTAGAAATAATGCACAAATGATTAGGTAATGAGGAGACGGTGATGGCGGAAATCACTACTTAGAAATTGTTAAATGATAATACATTCCCCCCAAACCCAGATCAGACAGGCCAAGAAGAATTTAATTTTCTGCCCACTTAAATGTACAGAGAAATGTCTTCTTTTCGGAGTGCTATTTCATTGGCCATCTAATTGACTAGTAAATAGAAACTTTAGCTTTCCTTTTCCTACGCAGCTTGCAATTTCTTCCCTGATTTCTGCATAAGTGTGCTTTGTGAGGCTTCGTTGATGTGATTCTGAACCCCGTAGTGTGTGGCATGCATACGGTAGCCAGCTATGATGCGTTACGAATACTTGGAAGAAGAAGAACATCAGCTTCAAGGCCTGTTAACCAATTCGTGCATTGTTTCATCTTGTTTTAAAATCCCTCTGTGTAGGAATTGCTAAAACTACTGTAAATTCCTTTCCAGATTGTGAACAATATATGCATTACATTATCGCAATAAGTCCCAAGCTCTGGGCTAGGGCACACATGCAAGAGAACTTCTAGTGTGCCAGAAGAAATAAAAGACTCCTGTGATCCCAAAGTGCCTAGAAGAGACTGCCGCCCACATCTCTGCATGATTTACTGGGACTGCCTCTTTCCGATCAGCCTCAACTCAGGGTGATTGGATCATATAATCCCTCCCCATGATGAGACATAGTAGAGTTACCTGCTTTCAGAAGAGGCATTCCTAGAACAGTGACTCGTGCAGTTCTAAGGGCGCTTCCAGACAACCCGTTTCTTGTGCATTCATCCTCATTGGTTTTGCAGGAGCCAGTGTGGTGTAGTGTGGGAGCCAGTGTGGTGTAGTGGCTAAGAGCGGTGGACTTGTAATCTGGTGAACCGGGTTCGCTTCCCCGCTCCTCCACACGCAGTTGCTGGGTGACCTTGGGCTAGTCACGCTTCTCTGAAGTCTCTCAGCCCCACTCACCTCACAGAGTGTTTGTTGTGGGGGAGGAAGGGAAAGGAGAATGTTAGCCGCTTTGAGACTCCTTCGGGTAGTAATAAAGTGGGATATCAAACCCAAACTCTTCTTCTTCTTCTTGCAGGGAGATTAGATGACACTGGCTATTCTCAGAATCACAGACTTGAAGGGACCACAAGGGTCATCTGGTCCAAGCATCTGCCATTCAGGAATCTTTGGCCCAATGCGGGGCTCAAACCCAAAATCCTGAGATTAAGTGCCTTGTGCTTTACCGACTGAGCAATGAGCATTCATTCTGATTTGCTTGTGGAGAGGTTAGGCAACATTTGCATCAGCAACATTGCATCATTTTCCTTACCACAAAAAGTCGGATCTTTGGGGGGAAGCAGGTTTGCTGCACAAGATCTCCTAATCAATTACAATGGTGCAAGCTGAATTTGCAGGCGTGTGATTGAATCCCACCCCCAAAACAGTGACGGCCTGGAAGCGCCCTAAGTTCTCACGGAATAGCTCTCGCTGTTTTTCTACATTCCCGCTAATATGCACTCAACCACATGAGTTGGAAGCAAAGTATAAGAACATAAGAGAATCAGGCCACATCTAGTCCAGCAATCTCTTTTCACAGTGGCTAACTGGATGCCTATGGGAAGCCCAATAGGATAAGGCTACCAGACATCCCCGTTTCCCGGGGAGAGTCCCCGGATTTACAAATCAGTCCCCATACAAAATCCATTGAAGTTGAAAAGTGTCCCCGTATTCATTGAAAAAAAATCTGGTAACCTTACAATAGGAGGACCTGAGTGCAACAGTACTCTGTTTACTTATGGTTCCCAGTGACTTGTATTTAGTGGTATTCAGCCTGCAACGATGGAGGGAGAACATGGCCATTATGGTTTGTATCTTGGAGGCAAGACAACTAGGTTTAAAGGGGTGATGCCTTTCACATCTCCATAAATGTGTGTCCTCCCTGTTACATAGGTATAAAACACTCAGAATTTAGGACTGTAAATGCCATAGAGCACTGCAGGGGAAGCCGGGGCCAGAGAAGTGAATTATGACTTTTATTCTCTCTGGTCAGCACAATTGTGCTCTAATTCCAGGTTTGGTTGGAGCTATGAACAGGAGTGGGCCTCCTAGGGAGTGGGAATACACTGCAAAGTTTGAATCCCCGCGACGGGGTGAGCTCCCGTTGCTCGGTCCCTGCTCCTGCCAACCTAGCAGTTCGAAAGCATGTCAAAGTGCAAGTAGATAAATAGGTACCACTCTGGTGGGAAGGTAAACAGCGTTTTCATGCGCTGCTCTGGTTTGCCAGAAGCGGCTTAGTCATGCTGGCCCCATGACCCGGAAGCTGTACGCCGGCTCCCTCAGACAATAAAGCGAGATGAGCACCTCAACCCCAGAGTTGGCCACGACTGGACCTAATGGTCAGGGGTCCCTTTACCTTTATGAACAGGAGCAGGCCTCCTAGGGAGTGGGAATACATTGCAAAGTTTTGTTGTACATCACACTATACGTTTAATGCACATTCAAAGCACACATTCTTTCCCTCAGAGAATTCTGGGCGCTGTAGTTTACCCCTCACAGATTTACAATTCCCAGCAGCCCTGAACAAACTAAAGTGCCCATAATTCTTTGAGGGGGGAAATGTATTTCGAAGGTGCTTTATAAGTGTGCACGCAGCCTTATTCTCTCTAAAAGTGAACCCTTTCGGAGTGAAGATGTTTCTCCCATTTTCAGCCAGGAAAAGGTGTGCCTTGGGTATTTACACGTTTCAGCAACATTGCTTATTAAGAACAGTTGCATTGGTAGACATTTGTATTTTTTTGAATATGGAGTTATGGGGGAAATGGTTTAAGAATGTGATGCTTGCCTTGCAGGATCAAATCAATTGCATTGCCTCTGAATATGGAAGTTGATAGACTTCTCCTCTTGGCATTTTTCTAATCCTTTAAAAAAGTCAGGCTAATGACCATTATCACATCTTATGGTATTGAATTTCAAAGGTGAACTGCACTGTCACACAGAAGTGTTTGTTTGTGTTAAACATCCAGAAGGACGGGTTGGGTTCCCCAAATGGAAATGGTAGGCCTTTGGTTTTAGAATGAGGCTTGTGTGTGTCAATTGTGGTGCGCTAGGATATTCTTTCCCCTCAAATGGTGATCACCTCCAGAAGACTGTGAATTTTACCTCTGGTGGATAGAAGTGGCACCTTCTAATAGGGATCACCAGAATCCATTCCTAACCCACCTAAGCTTGAATTCTCAAGAAAGATTGCTTTTCAAATTGGGCAAACAATATTGGTCTACTTTGAATGATTGTATCTTGGGTAAGAAATCTGACTTATGGGTGTGCATTTTGCCCATGTGTGTAGCTCTCAGACTAGAAAGCGCCCAATTTCCCCATGTTTAGGAACTTTGGAACAAAGCAAGATTTCAAATGACTGTTTCCTACTCCTTGTTAATTAGAGACTTCTTGTTTAATTGCCATTCATGTCAAGGGAGGAGAAAGGCCTTATGTATGTGGCTAAAATACTTGTTTATATCTCGGCTTTTAATGAGTGGCGATTGTCCAAAGCAGGCCACTGTGTTCTATTGTAGGGGAGCATAACTTTGGTATTTTTATGGGGGTTGAGTTTAAAGGTGTGGGGCCAAAGAACTGGTAGACCTTGAAGCTGTGGGGAGCTGCCAATTCAAAAGTTCGATGTTTGCTATGTGTACTCATTGTTGACTGCGAGCTGTCAAATTGTTCCATGAAAATGGTGGATTGTGTGTTGCCTTGCTTGGAAGGCAATAATTTGGATGGAAGGGGTGGGCTATGGATATTTGAGCAAATGCTGAAATATAGAGTTGCTTCCACCCTGCATTGTTTTTAGTTTTAAAACTGAAGCATTTCCTGAGGTTCTTTCATCACTGGATCTCATTTGTGTGTCAGTTCCAATGCACAGTACCAGTTCCCACAATTTTCCTCAGCATGATTCTCAATAAGCATAATAAGAACGTGTAGTGTATTGCCACTTAGAGCAAACATTTGAAGCAGAGGCTCATACCTTTGACTTGTCAGCCGAGCCATTATTTCTGCTGTGAACTCTCGCAGATTCCTAATATTACCAAATGAGCCCTATATATCCTTGTCTGGCAAGAGATGTCAAGAAGGGTGAATATGATTTCTTGAGATGTTATCATTATTTTAAGGCAAAAAGCTTCCAAGAAGGTGATAGCAGAGCAACAGTGAGAACCTATTCTCTTCGGGGTGGAGGAAAAAGTCAAACACGAGACTGAAGCCTGACTGACGGGATTTCTGGGGCAATGAAAATTGTGAAGCTTTCGTTTGTGCATGTATCTACATTATTACCATGTCGAGCACTGCCACATTGAAAAGAAAATATGTTGGGTGCGGGGAGATGCAATGCCGCTTTCAGCAAATATTTATTTCGGGAGTAATGGGTTAGTAGTCTTAAAAAGAAGAATCAGTGGCAGGGCTGGATCATAGTTTTGACAGTTATAACCGAAAGGCTTTCATCAGTAATGTCTGCCATAAACTTCCTGCATGGCAAAGGTCCTGTAAACATCCCTCTTGTGTAGGTGGTCCTCCTATCCATGCCAAATAAAGAGATGTCATAATAACATTTGTCTCTGCCTTGCTTTTCATTTGCAGCTGCTGTCTATTCTATAACACAATGACTACAATAACATTAACAATTGATTTGGGGTAGGATCAGGGGCAGGTGTTTCCTGGGTCAGGGTGGTGATGGAGAGAGCTAACAGCCCTAGGAACTAACAAAATGCCTTATCCATTCACAAATCTCAGCATTGTTCTGGTTTCTAAGAATTCCCAAGCACCACTGGAAACTTTCCTTTACTTGGATCATATAATGCTTTTCAAAGTGTGTGCTAATCTATTATGGAACGCTGGTCTTCACAGCCTTGGAATTCATTCTGCGCTGTTACTTTTTTGTGATATACCACACTGGGACCGTTGTATATTATGTAGCTGGATTTTGTTGGGAGAGGGGGAAAAAGGCCTCTGTGGCTTTCTACAGCCGCCACCAATGTGTCTTTGTCATTTAACCAGGTAGGTATAGCTTCTTCACATCTGATCCACAAGAGAATGGCTGGGTCTTCAATCAAATGTAGCCTGACCAAACTGAATGGGTTTGTCTGGGGACCTCTATTTAGAACAGGATAAAGGTTCCCTTTTATCACCACCCAAGTCTGTACATTTTGGGAAACTTTGTAACATTTTGTGATTTTTTTCAAAGCTAACAGTTACAATACCAGACCGGGCATCTCTATAGCGCTTTCGAATGTTCAGGCTGCTTCACCTCATCGTGAAAATATAATTCATTCTAGACTGCGGAAGTAGTTTGAAACACTTTCATAGCATTCTGAAGCATTTGCTTTCTGGGTGGAAAGTGTGCCAAAAGCACATTCACCACCTTCAGTGCATGCCTTTCTCTCAACTTCAATAATCCTTTTAACAGCTCTGCGGAGTGGCCATTATCTCCCTATTGCCAAATTGGGTGGGACTAGGCTGAAAGAAAAGTGCCCTGCCAAAGGCTATCTATTGAATTAATTGATGAGACTTGAATTTGAGAGTTTGGGAAGGGTACCATAGAACGTACATGAGGCAGGCAGGCGTTGCCAGTCCCAGACAGGGGTGTCAATAGAATCTGGGCCTAGGTAACTCGAATTTCCACCCAAGATATCTGAGGCTGAAGGATGATGTTCCCATCTGTCTGATTTTCAGGAACCTGAACTGCTTGAACACAGCATATTCGCCCCATTTGAAGATCCAGTTAAAAATAACGCAGTGCAGGTTTTGCCGTTCAAAACTCCCAACTTTTGTGTCACGTCTCACCTTTGCAAGGGTGTGGGTGCATCTAAAACTTTAACATGTACTCTATAAATAGCTGGCCTGTTCAATTTGTGGCCCTTTAAGGTTTCCAGTTTCAAAAATAGGCTGTTGTAAGTAATAATAACAATAATTATTATGAGGGGTGACCACTTGGTGGCAGCAAAATCTAGCGATGCCGTATCATGTCGTCTGAGAGTAATACTACTTTATTTCAGATAAGATGTAGAAATCTTTCTGCAGTGTATTTACTTCTGCATGGTTTAACCTGAGGAAAATAGAGTGGTGCTAGGAAGCCCGTTGTACTGGCAGTTGCTGTCATTTCCTACCTCATCTTCATTCATACCGTAAAAGTTTACGAAAACACTGCAAGCTTGGGTGCATTTTTCAGTATTTGTACATGCTTAAAGAGAAAGTGAGAAGCATACCTGTTTCCTATTTTCTCTTTCGGAAAATCCCCTTCCTTTGAGATATCACGACTGGGTTACAATTTATTTAGCAATTTCTTCAACCCCACAGTTATATTAAGCTTTCTGAAAGCAGAGTGAGAATTGGAGAAGTTTTCGGCAAGTCCTCATGCCACCATTTATTACGTTGTGGAGCGGAGAGGCATTTCTTGACAAGGGCTGGGAAAATCAATAGGACTTTAATGTGGGGGGTAAACCTTTTTGTATTGCCAGCTGTTATTCTGTGAGATGAGATGTCATTGGGCTTTCATGTAGAAACCTCTTAACACAGACCATGCTCTTAAACAGTAGAACAGCAAGTGCCTCAGTGCTGTGACAGCAGTGGTTATCCAAGTGTCAGCCAGGTAAGTCAAAGGCCGGTGGACCACTCTTGTCCTCAACTTTAAGAGAAAGACAAAGGTGAGATCAATATCACATGGTCACCAGGCAGCATGCTTTAACTCTCCCTGTGAGAGGAGAGACTGTTAGGTAGAACTGGTTTAATCAACACTGAAATGAAAATGTATGTGTATTAATGAAGGTTTAAAATGGAAAATGGCTGAATGTGTGTTGCCAACATTTGGTTTCCACCCTTTTAAAGTTTTTATTATACTTTTCAGGTTTATACGTTTCATTAGTTTTACAATCATTTTAACATTTCAAAGTTTGACTTCCTTCCCCCTCTTTCTGCGGTTCCTTAAATTTATTTTTTGATATCTTTTGCATATCCAAATTCGTTTAATTTGCTCATTTAATTATCTACTTTAAATATATACTCTTAGGAAACTGCAGGTTATTACAATAATCCTGCCATTGTTTTTATCTGTTTGCAATTTACCTGTAAATATTCAATAAACAATTTCCATTCTTTTATAAAATGTTTGTTATCTTGATATCTTAAGTTTCGCCATCTCTGCATATTCCATAAGTTTTTGTATCCATTTTTCCTTTGCTGGGACTTACTCTTCTTTCCATTTTTGGACGAGTAGCATTCTTGCTGCGGTAGTAACACACATAAATAAATTTCTATACAATTTAGGTAGTTCTGTTCCTATAATTCCCAAAAGAAAAGCTTCTGGTTTTTTTATCCAAAGTTACTTTGACCATCCTTTTCAATTCATCATATATAATTGGGAACATTGGGGTTTTTCCAATGTTGTTTTCAAAAGGCCTCTGAGCTTCTTAATGCCTTAATGAGTAACTGTTGATTGTTTTCTACTCTGTGCTGAGAGTAAAAGGATTCTGGAAGATGATATAATATGAACTGAAAAAAAAAAGTTTCAAATAACCTTTTTTAAAAAAACACACACACCCAAAGCTTTTCTTTCAGGAGTTCTGGGTGCTGAAATTCCAATGGATCAGAAAAGACTATTTATGTATGCGACCACGGCTGCTCAGATGTTATTAGCCCAGAGATGGAAAGAAGGCGGAGACCCAACCAAAGAAGAGTAGCAGATTAAGTTAATGGACTGTGCCGAATTGGAAAAAATGACCAGAAGAATCAGAAACCAGGAAGACCAAAATTTTAATAAGGAATGGGGAAAATATATAATTTACCTTGTTGTAGTTGTTTAGTTGTGTCCGACTCTTCGTGACCCCATGGACCAGAGCACGCCAGGCACTCCTGTCTTCCACTGCCTCCCGCAGTTTGGTCAAACTCATGTTGGTAGCTTCGAGAACACTGTCCAATCATCTTGTCCTCTGTCATCCCCTTCTCCTTGTGCCCGCAATCTTTCCCAACGTCAGGGTCTTTTTCTGGGAGTCTTCTCTTCTCATGAGGTGGACAAAGTATTGGAACCTCAGCTTCAGGATCTGTCCTTCCAGTGAGCACTCAGGGCTGATTTCCTTCAGAATGAATAGGTGTGATCTTCTTGCAGTCCATGGGACTCTCAAGAGTCTCCTCCAGCACCATGATTCAAAAGCATTCAAAAGGAGGAAATGGTTAATATAAGGACCCACAAAGGGGGTGAGGGAAGTTTTATGTTGGTTGTTGGATAATTGTTTGTAAATTCATAAATTGTAAAATCTGAAAAACTAAATAATTTTTTTAAAAAAGAGTGAACCTTTGATCATGTGATGAAAGTATTGAGTTACAAATCTCCATTTTGAAAAGAAGTTGCCTTTGAGTCTTTGTCTCCCAAACTCCATAAGTGAGGATGTAAATGAAGCTCTCTTGAAGGGCGAATAAACAGCCTAAGGCCAACAGAGGCTGGAAAGCAGGTTATGGGGAGAGACAGACCGCTGCTTCTAGGTCTATTTGAACTATTTTGTATTTTCTAAGATCCTGAGCCTGTGCTGGACAGCACAAGACATTGTATGGAGTGTATGTTTGATACTTGTATCTTTGATGCTTATGTTCTGTTTCTGAAGAGTTCTGCCAGTAAAAGTGTGAATAATATTTTTATGGGCACGGACAATGTTTCCTTCCAAAAGCAGTCAGTTCTTATGCTTCCAGTCGCTTCAGACTGCACAATATTAATATCTGCAACAGAGACTGCATGCCAATTTGATGCTACAGTGGCCCTTACCTTGAGGAATACCAAGCAGGCATTCAGCCTGTGTACACAGCATAGTTCATTGTAAAGCCATGATATGGAGGCCAAGGAGGAAGAAGACTGGATCCTCTAACCAGTACTTTAAAACTGCATTCTTTACTGCTGAAAGCAAGTGTTTCTGCCAAGTCCACACACAAGAGCATCTTCTAGCTCTAATATGAGAAAAATGGAATAATATTAAATTATATCAAGCTGCACTTTTTTTCAAGATTTAATACAATGCTGAACAGTGATGTGAGCAATTATTTTGCAGGCTATGCCACTTGAATTTTAATGTTGCAAATAAATAATGCTGCAATGTCTTCTCCTGTTAGGACCACCAGCTTTTCCCAGTGAAAGTGCATACGGTTAGCTTTGCTTAGGTACCCCCACTAATGGAATTTAGCGGTTCATGCCCAGTGGCCACAGAATGCTGACTGGCTGTTTAAAGGGAAAATGCAAAACTAGGAGGAGAAATAGAATGGAGTATTCTGGAAGATGGCACAGCTGGCTAGAACCCTGAACAGGAGTGTTCCATACGGTAGAATTTTGTTAACAGGTTTGATTTGTTTCTATTTAATGTGTGATGGGCTTAGGAGCAAAGATTCTTGAACTCATTTGGAAATCCTAATTTTACAGCAGCTTAAGAAAGTATAGAAATGAATTGTGTGTTGTTTCAATTCAACGTCATTATAGGTAAAAAAGTAAAGGACCCCTGGACGGTTAAGTTCAGTCAAAGGTGACTATGGAGTTGCGGCACTCATCTCGCTTTCAGGCCAAGGGAGCTGGCATTTGTCCACAGACAGCTTTCCAGGTCATGTGGCCAGCATGACTAAACCGCTTCTGGCGCAACGGAACACTGTGACGGAAGCCAGAGTGCACAGAAATGCCGTTTACCTTCCCATCGGAGCGGTACCTATTTATTTACTTGCCCTGGCGTGCTTTTTAACTGCTAGATTGGCATGAGCTGGGACAGAGCAATGGGAGCTCACTCTGTTGTGGGGATTCGAACAGCCGACCTTCTGATTGGCAAGCCCAAGAGGCTCAGTAGTTTAGGCCACAACACCATCCACGTCCCTCTGTAGTTTTAGTAATGTCTGAAGGGCCTAGCAAGAACATGCAGTCTAGGCTCACCCTTTAGATACCAAGGTGCATGCCAGCCACACATCCCTGGCTGATATGTGTTCTCTGTCAGTTTGCAGGGGGGCTCATGTATGTGCATAGCACTCTCTTCATGGTAACATTTCGGCAACCCAGGGATGGCACTGCCAACATGTGCATTGGCACCAACAGGGTGAAGGTAGACCCATCATTCTCACTAGCCCCTTCATTCATGGGTACCAAGTACCTGGATAGACACAAACTTGGCATAATACATGCCAGGCTCCCAGGCTCATTTATGGGACCTGGACAGTCTCAAAATATTGTATCACCACTAAATCATACCAAAAACATTTTTATGCCAAAATGCACAGGAAGATGGATTCTGCTGCAGGTTTTTTTAGTCGTTCATATATTTTAATTGTTTCAAGTCATGTTTATACAGCAAAAGTAGAAAGAAAGCTGGCTATTAAAAAAAGTAGAGGGGGAATATTCTGGGGTGTGATATCAGAATACCCCTGATGTTATGGAAAGACGGGCTATAAATATTTTGATGTGAGACACAATTGCTGCAATTTCTTCGACATTATACCCCATATTGACTAAGGCAGGGGTCAGCAAACCTTTTCAGTCTACTGTCCCTCAGACCTTGTGGGGGGTCGGACTATATTTTTTTTGGGGGGGGGAATGAAAAAATTCCTATGCTCCACAAATAACCCAGAGATGCATTTTAAATAAAAGCACACATTATACACATGTAAAAACACCAGACAGGCCCCACAAATAATCCAGAGATGCATTTTAAATAAAAGGACACATTCTACTCATGTAAAAACATGCTGATTCCCGGACTGTCTGTGGGCCAGATTTAGAAGGCAATTGGGCTGGATCCGGCCCCTGGGCCTTAGTTTGCCTACCCATGGACTAAGGCAATTGGTCTTCAGCTGAGGACCATCTTAGCCTACGGTCAACCACATGAGCATCACTATCATCATTCTGTGCTTCGATGATGTGGGAGGAGCTATGGATACAAAGCTGGTCCCACCTGATGTTAGAAATCTTGGGTCAGACAAAGTTGAAGACTATTAATCTAGATCAGGGGTAGCTAGCACAGTGCACTCCAGATGCTGTGGACTACAACTCCCATTCACACATTGGCCCCGCTCGCTGGGGATGATGGGAATTGTAGTTCAATACATCTAGAGGGTACCATGCTGGCTACTCCTGGCTGAGGCTCCTAACAAGCGCATTCCAGATTGGCAGAGAAATATCTGCCAGGGATCTTAAGAGTCCAGACTTCTCTCATAGTACAGCCGTTCATTTTGCTGCAGCACAAGGGGTGGGGGTGGTTGACGCAACTTGGTTTTCAATTACATTTAGTATTTATTTATCCCACCCTTCCCCCTCCAAGAAATAAAAAAAGCTCAGTTGGCTCATACAAAGCAGTCACCAGCTTCTGCTTGCAAAATCAAGCTGTTCGATCTAAAGACCATTCTCATTTTAGTGCTTTGTTTTTCCAAAACGTATCCCTTCTAGTGGAACATATGGTTAGCTTTCCCCCACCCTTAATGGGTTCCTTGTCGTGCTCTATCCGGAGCAAAAAAAAAAACTTCCTTTACTTACTCTCTCTCTCTTCAAGCTATGTCATGCTCTGAGAGTTTTGTCTGCTGTGTCTGCTGTATTTTTATCCAACTACAGTACAGGCTTAAAAACAAAACTTGGCTTCCAAAAAACTAAATATATTTAAGTTCCATCATACGTGGCTCACCTATGCACTCTCCTTTTTTTTTTTTTTTTTTGGTCGATTGATGGTTAGCTACACCATTTCTTTGCTGCCAAGGAAGCACAAGGAATTGTTGCCCCATCACCTTGGTTCAAAAGACCTCCATTTTGCATTGGGGTGTGTGTGCTGAACTTGCACAGCACTTGTTATGTACTGAGTTGAAAGGGATCCAAAAGGCAGCAGTCTGATTGGTCCTAGAACAATAGGATTCAGAATGCAGCAGTCTGATTGGTCCTAGAACAATAGGGTCCAGAATGCAGCAGTCTGATTGGTCTTAGAACAATAGGGTCCAGAATGCAGCAGTCTGATTGGTCTTAGAACAATGCAGCAGTATGATTGGTCCGCAATGATTGGACTTAGTATGATTGGACTTAGGTTTCCGGGCGGGAGTTGATCATGGTGAGGGTTTGCCAAATGTGCCTTCCTCTTAGCACATTTCTCCCTTTCGTCTTCAAAGTCCATGACACCTTTGGTAAAGGCTGTTCTCCAACTGGAGCTCTGGCAGTCCAGTGTTTCCCAGTTGTCAGTGTTTATACTACATTTTTTTAGATTTGCCTCAAGACAGTCTTTAAACTTCTTTTGTTGACCTCCAGTATTACGCTTTCCATTTTTAAGTTCGGAATAGAGTAGTTGCTTTGGAAGATGATAATCAGGCGTCCGAACAACATGTCCAGTCCAGAGGGACCTTGGCTGCACTGAAGAGACATTATGTAGCTTTGCTGGTGGAATGGCTCTCCAGCATATCCCGGGTGTTCCATCAGCATATCAGCTTTCTGAGTCTGCTTTTATTTAATCAAATCCACTGATCCCTAAACCCCTTCCAATGGCATCGCTGAAGTAAAGGATTGCACCCTGAGATCGCTAGACATACCTTTTCTTTGTCCCAGGTGTCCTGCACTAAATTGGCTTTGTACTTTTCCAGTAGTGATCTGACTTAGCTAAGTCAATTAACAACTGTCGCCACCTTGGCAACGGTGTTGTTGTTATCCGTCTCATCTATCCAAAGCTCCAAGCATTTTCTAAACGACTTGTCATCCTCCATATTTGCAGTACTTGTTTTACCAATGAGAGTATAGATGTTGCATTGACAAAACATAAATTATTCAGCACTAACTAGCTCTTTTACTGGTCGGTAGACCACGGGGAATGTTAAATCCATCTCAGCGCATGACTCAGTAGCTTTAGTTCATTTGAGTGTTTCAATTAAAAATGCCCCTTTTAAATAAACCCTCTTTATATCAACTGTTACAATTGCAATGGGTTTTCTTCGTCTTCCAGAAGCTACCCATGCATGAACAAATTGTATAAATAACAAGCACAGCTGTCATGGTGAGATATATGGATTTCAGTTTTTCGGTCTTCATCCCATCCCCAGTCATTTTGCACGTCCCAGAATGGATTCATGCAGTACTTTTTTTAGGGGTACTCTCATTTTGACTCAAGAAAAATCACCATTATATAGTTCAAATTGGGGAAAATAAATACAATTGCAGTTTAATGGTGAATTTTGGACATAATGGAGATGCCAAAAAATTGGATTATCAAAAAAGATGCCGGAGGAAATGATTAGCAATAGGACCCGCAAAGGGGAGGAGGGAAGTCCAGTAAATTCTTTGGAATCTTGTTTTTATGCTGTATATTGTATATGTGATTGTAAAACTCTGATCCGAAAACCAAATAAACAAATTTTTTTAAATGGCTGGCTACTCAAGTGACCTTTTAGACAATTGCCTAGGCCTCATGGCATTTACAAAAGTTTTCAACGGACACCTGAAATTAAAAAGTAAGGATGTCCGCCAAAATTCTGCTCAAAGCTGGGGTGGTATCCATTATTCTGCGACTATGCCTTGAAAATAGGGACACTTGGAGACTATGGGAAAACGTTGTTTAACCAATCTGAGAATTGCACCTGTTCTCAGAGGAGTAGGTTTTCTAACAACTCTCAGTACACTACAGTTCCCAAGAATTTAGGGGCAAGTCATGAGTGTTTAAACAGTACAATTGTGCTTTACATCTACAGTGCAGATGGGGCCTGAAAGTACTTTCTTCTTGTGTCTCTACGAGACCCTTATATGTACAATCAGCTGAATCAATGAGCTCTCCACCTGCACTCAGAAAAGGTAGACCAGCACAGAGAGTGCATAAACTGAAACATTTCCTCTGACATGTACTTTTATGGGCGGTTGGGATTGGTGGGAAAACATGCAAGCCCATACCTGGAGCCTAAAGTGGTAAAGCCTGGGAAAAAGCTTTTCCACTGACCTATATTTTTGGTCCCAGATTGCCAGGAGGTGTTGAAGGGTTGCTAAGAGTGTTTCCGATGGAAGGATTCACATCGGCCTAGTGGACATGTCACAAAACATCCCCATTATGTCTGGAGGAAGAGGGAGGAGGATATTTCAACGCACCGGCCTTGGAAAAGTGGGAGTTAAAGTGCCACCATCAAAACCAGGGAGAGGAGAAACCTCCTTTATATCCAGCAATAAGACTTGTATGCTAAATGGTTATAGTGGCAGTTATGGGAGGTGACAGATACTGCCAACTCCCATAATAATCTGGACCCAGTCAGCCCAGCTCCTGTTCCACTTGGTGATAAACTGTTGAGAGGAATGTCAAGTCATGGCATGTTCTTCTATGGTGGCGATTTCCCTTGTAGCTTCCTTGTACCTTCTTCATCAGCCAGTCATGAATGGCTAGTTCTAGGAATCTCCATTGAGTTGAACTTCCCCCAAGAACATACACACAAATTAGGGTACCATCTTTGCTTACAGCCTGTTGGAGCTGCGGAGAGCAGATTTCTGCATTAGGTTCCATCTGAGAATACACCAAGTTGCACACAAAGGTGACTAAGCTGATGTTGCCCACTGGTTTCCATGGTTACCAGCTGGCATCCGACGGCCCATTGTGACACAAGTGCCGTCCTGCTTCTTCCTAATGACATAAATATTCACGACTTTGGCGTAGCTATTGAGAAAAGCCTATATTTTCATCTGGAATAATTTCACAGCTCTTGATGAATTTCTCTGTAGGGTAGCTTCATGTACCAGCTTCATCGCTTGCAGAGAGCCAAACCATTTTCAAATTTCCAGAGGTGGGCAAAAGGTGACCTTTGCGGAAGGAAAAAGGAGGCCTTTGGGGTATCCTTTTCCCGATCCTGGCATCCTGGATATGGCATTCCCAACGAGTCAGAAAAAATGGTCTGACCAGATTTCTTCACCTCTAGGCCACAATTCAGTAATGTTTGTGTGAAATCCAGGAAAGGCTGGCCCGAATTTCTCTCTGTGCATTCTTACTTATTGTTCAGCACGAGCTCTTAGATGGCAGATCACTGAACTTGGCCACAGTAGGCCATTTGACGTGCAATTCCACTTGAGTTTGTGGCATGTATGAGTGCGACAAGGCCCCCTGAAACGTTTGGCGATAACATCCACATGATTCATACATCAGCCGATTGAGTCCAAAGTGGCATCAAATGCAGGGATAACACTCCTTGCAATGTTTGGTGGTGAAAACCCCACATTTCAAAGCAACCCACAAAACGAGCTCTCGGCACACTAACCTGTGGGGTCAACATTGTGCCGAAAACCCGACGTCATCCGATTGACACCAGATCAGAGCCAAACGCAGGGAGAAGGCCCTCTGGAATGCTTGGCGGTTAAAACTCCACACTTCACAGCACCTCACAAAATGAGTGTCCTAACCCGTAGGGTCAAGATTTTGCTGAATATCGATTGTCGTCTGATTCACTCCAAAGCTGCGCCAAATGGTGGGAAAAGCCCCCCTGCGACATTTGGCGGTGAAAACCCCACGATTCACAGCAACCCACAAAATGGCCCCTCGACGCCCTTGTTGGGATGCGTCCAAGGGAACGGGGGCAATTGGCAGGCCCCCAGCTGGCTCCAGCCCACCGGCCGGCAGCCGGGCGATCTCTGGTCCTTGGATCAGCATGTAACTGCGACTCGAGCCTCAGAAACCTTCAGAAGCTGAGCACGCAAGCCAGCAGAGAAAATAACTCTTCGCAACAGAAGGGCAGAGAGAGGCTGCGTATTGACAGGCATTTTATTCAGCATCAGGACAAAGGGAAAAACATGTCTTCTCCCCTTTGTGTCCAAGCAAACAGCATAAGCAAAAGCTGTACACACAACGGAAGTTCCCAGCAAGCTGTGCTGGAGAGTAAACAGACATGTGACATATAACAATCCACACATCTGTTTTAGGGTGGAATGGAACATCAATATCCTAACAGCCCTGAGCCTCACTGCCAAAATTTGAAGGCAGACTTAGAAAAGGGAAGAGTTAACTAGACATGAGGCAGAGAGAAGGGAGACCAATTAGAGCCTTTCTCGCTCTCCTCTCTGCTGATAGCTTCCAACCGTAAAGGAGAAAAAGCATTCTACATTGCTCCTCTCCACAGAGTATTCACTTCGGTTTTCAAGATGTAGAAAATCATTCTAGAGCAGGGGAGCACCTTAACTGACAAGTCATATGAAGTTGTTAGTGGTTTGATAAGGGCAGTGATGCCAAAAAATATCCAACATTACATTCTTAACAGGGATTGCTGTAATATGTTTGTGCACCTGTTTCTTCCCCACCGTCTTAACTCACTCCAGGTTTGGTTGACATTCATTGTGTCTCTAGCGCAATACCTTAGACACTTTTCCATGTCAGCCCTATCTAATTCCCAGTTCTGATGGTTTTGTGCCAGTCTTCCATAGGCTTCTCAATGACATGGGATGCAATTTCAAGTAATGAAGTACATGCATGCACCCAAACATTTCAGGAAAATGTACAGGTATATTGTAGCAATGTGCAATTAAATACAGTTGCAATGTGCAATTAAATATGTGCAATTAAATACATGTTGCAGCAGCATACACAATGTGCATGAATTATAATGGACTCTGCCAGAATTTTTTGGGTCCTACACCAAGAAAAAGATTTTGGATAAATTGCAAGTCAATCCAATCTAATTTTCCCTTGTATTTTAGAAACCTAAAATCTCAATAAACTTTTTCTGATGTCAAATATAAATTAATAAGAATAATTATATGCATATTTTGGGCTTTCTTCCCATTTGAGGGAGAATTGACATTATGTAGGGTTGCCATACGTCTGGGGATTCCCGGACATGTCCTCTTTTGGGGGTCCTGCTTGCCCACCCGGGGGGAATTTTACATTTTAAAGCTAATGTCCTGGATTTTGGTGTTTGTGTGTGTGTGTGTGTGTGTGTGTGTGTGTAGATATAGTGCGTGGGAGGCTAGGACTCAATAATGGCAGAGGGGCTATTGGGTGATTAATAATAATAATAATAATAATAATAATAATTATACCCAGCCCTCCCCAGCCAGAGCTGGGTCAGGGCGGCTAACACCTGTAAAATTACAATAAAAACATAATAGGAAAAAAACCCACCAATTTAAAATACAGGTTAAAATGCAATTTAAAATGCAGCCTCATTTTAAAAGTAGCCCTTAAATCAAAACCGTAAGGGGAGGGAAACAGAAGGGTCAGACTTAGGATTGCCCTAAAAAAGCTCAACTTTTTTGGACTGGATTTTTACCTCTTTGAAATATGGCAACCCAACATTATGAGGAGGTGGTGCCTCAAATAAGCATTCTGCCTCTGGGCTTCTCAAAGTCTTAAAAGGGGTCTGAGCATTCCAGCTGAATGCCCAAGCCCTCAGCTTATCTGTCAGTTAGTAAGAATTTAGAGGAGGATAATATTGGCTTCGATCCTGGCAGTCTAATGCCTTTGTGTGGTCTCCAGCTTCTACCTCTTCTCTGCTGAGATCCTACAATAGAATGAGGGAGCTTGAGAGACTGGAGATGAGCTACATGTGAGCAGACTGCTACTTCATTCAGAGATTCTGAGCAGCCAAATGTGTTTGTTTTTTAAAAATTAATTTTCATTAAACATTTTCTTAGTTTACAAAAGTACATGCATTGTCTCTTTTTCCAGGTTGTGTTTTCTACAGATCAATTTTGCAAAGAGTCTGTAATCCAATATTTGTTGAGGGATGATACTCCTGAAACTACCAAGATTGTTTCTGCGTACTTAGCCAAGAGCTTTAAAGCTAAATCTAAAGTTGCATGATTTATTCAGTGGTGGTTATCTAGTCTTTTATATATTGTATGTATTTGGATTATCAATGTATTTGGATGACTTTGTATGATTTTACTGAGGGCACAAGGAGAAGGGGACGACAGAGGATGAGATGGTTGGACAGTGTTCTCGATGCTACCAGCATGAGTTTGACCAATCTGCGGGAGGCAGTGGAAGACAGGAGTGCCTGGTGTGCTCTGGTCCATGGGGTCACGAATAATAGAACATGACTAAACGACTAAACAACAACAACAACTACCAGTCACAGGAAGAAATCAGCAAAATGGCTTCCTTATGAGACACCCTTATTCACCTTCGGCCTCCAGAGAAAGCCAATACAATCGGACATTTAGTCGGACATGACTAAACAACTAAACAACAACAACATAAACCACCTTTTTCTTCCAAGGAACTCAACGTAGTTTACATGGTTCTCCTCCCCCCTGGTTCACCCTCACAACAACCCTGTGAGGTAGGTTAGGCTGAGAGGCAGTGACTGGCCACCCAGAGAGCTTCATGGCTGAGTGGGGATTCAAACCCTGGTCTCCCAGCTCCTAGTCTAACTCTCTAACCTTTATGCCACAATGGCTCTCATAGGGAACGCTCACCTCAAATGAGTTAAAAGACCAGTTTCCCCCACGGAGCAGGCAGGACCCAAAATTGTACAACGTTTTTCAGATCTGCCTTAATTCACTGAGTATCAGTTGCCGAAACTCCTCTGCTGATGGGGGAAGGGCAGTCTGTGATGGCCCTGATCCTGCTAACTGTTACGTCGTGTATATGCATAAAGCCCATTGTGATGACACCAAACTCCAGGGTGGCTGTCACATGACTTCCTGCTTCCTGTTCATTATCAATGGGGAATTCTTAGACAGGAGAGCCAGACCAGAAGTGATGGCAGGTGTATAAAGATAAGCTTCCCACTTATGGCACAATAATGTATATTTTAAAGAAGTGTTGGCCTTCAGCAAAAAGATCAATGTTCCCTAGGGTGGAAACCTTTGAAAGGGTAACATCAGTTGAAATATTGATACACCATCTCTTCCCCTGTTCGTCCTTATTTCCCCTTTAGCCTAATTGAAATCTCACTACTTTTTTAAAGATAGAGACTGACCTTTAGATTGGAACGAGCATATTTCATTAATTGCTGTCGAAATCCCTTAGCGCATCGATACAGTTCTATTAGTTTCAAAGTGTCAGATAGCAAATAGCCTCCCGCATTCTCGTGATCAAACACCTAAATACCAACTGTAAAATCCTCAGCCTTTTAATAAAGAAATGCCATCGTCCACACCGCTGTGAGGCGTCTTATAGAAGCGCAATCTTCATGGGTTCGGTTCCGTTGGGGGGAGAGCAGCTGCGTTTCAGGGTGCAAAGTGTGTTTAAGTGACTGAGATGAAGGACTAAAGGAAATGTGAGACTGAGGTCTGTTGTGCTGGTCCCGGGGGGGGGGTTACCGTGTGGCGTGGTCTGAGTCCGGTCCTGGGTCGAGGGTCTGGAGGCTGCCCGTCAGGGGTGAAGCGGGGTCCAAGGCAAGGAGCCGGGTGTGGTCATGAACTCTGGAAGAGCAGGTCAGGGTACTGGGAGGAACAGGTTTCCAGCGATGTTGCTCCCGCAACCTGGGACTGGGCTGACTGGCCTTTATCTCCTCTGAGGCCTAGGGCTGCCCCAGTCCACAGGTGACTCGCCTCTCCTGGCCTTAAGGCGAGCACTCCTCCTGTGAGAACTTAGTTCCCTCCGCCTCTCTGCCCTGAGCCTCTGCAGCTCCGAAGAGGCTGGAGGGTTACTGGACCCAGAGGCAACCTCACCTTCCCCTGACAGGGCTGGGAGAGGAGCACCTGCAGGCAATGGGTCCTCAATCACCTCCGGAGCCAGAGCGGATTCATCTGGTGTCTGCTCCTGAGGATCCGGCACAGGTACGGGCCCTTCAGATTCAAGCCCCTGTCCCGGCTCAGCCGGCCCTGGAGGCGGGGACTCCTGTGCAGGCTGGGATTCCTCAGGTTCAGCCTCTGAATCATATTCCCAGACCATCACATCTGTTTACATTCCCCCTCAAGGCGAGGATGACCCAAAACATTTTGCTGCCTGAGACAAAGAACAGGACTGTGCTCCCCTCTCACTTCCATATGTGGCGTTTGCCCATTTGTTTAGAGCCTGTCTGTACGGGGAGAGATAGGCTTTAAAATATAGACCAATAGGAAAGCCGGAGGCGGAGCCTACCTGTGTATAAAAGGGCTTAGCGCGAGGTTTGAGTTAGTTGTTGTTGGAAGCTGTTGGTGGGTAGTTGGTTGGTTTTAGTGGGTTGGCTGGTTGGAAAAGGCAGTTGGAGAAGCAGTGGGCAGGCAGTTGGTAATAGAGAGACAGTTAGGGCAGTGGGTTCTTGAGTGAGGGGAGGTAGAAGAGATAGAGAGAGGAAAATAAGAAAGTAAAGAGTAACAACATTTGGAATGCCGGAAAAGTTTGTTTGTGTCTGAAATAAAATGCACTCTTCTTTATTAATTGAGAACCTGACTGAGGCTGAAGTGATTTTACCGGGGTGGACCTAGTTGGTGGCAGCGGATTAGTGGTCAATAGTCTGTGAGACGACCGGGGGCTCCGTACGAACACCACACCATATGTCAACCGAGTCTTCCTTCAATATCAGTGAAAAGATAGCATCCTCCTCTAGCACGTCAGATTAGGGGGCCCAGATGTGGCCGCTGAGCAGAAAGGCACTGACTCGGGGACCCCAAAGAACAGCTGCTACTGATGACCCTCATTGTCTGCCATTTTGGGAGTCACTTCAATTTGTCTAATGGTAGGGCTGGCACTACCCAAAGTTTGCATTCAAGATCTGGAGGAAGAGTGAGTCAAAAGGGGTGTGCATAACACTTTCCCTGCCAAAGAAAAAGATAGAGAGGCCTTCTTCACATTGTTTTTCTCCCCACAGGGGGAAAAACAGGGGCTTAAATAATAATTTTTGATGCTGCATTTTTAGGCAGTAATTGAAAGTTGGTGCAGGGGATTCTATTGACAAAGGATGGTGTCATTTTATCAGTTCTAAGGACCACAAAAAGTGGCATCTCCCCCCCCCCCATCATAATGTTTTAGCTTCCTGCAACGTTTGTTCTTCATGTGCAGATGTTTGTTTCAGTTGTGCAACACTTTAGAAAAAGTGCTATAGAAATGTACACGATGATATATGGATGCTAGATTTGGTGCTTGAGAACTTGTTTCTTCTAAAACAGCTAAATCCAACAGAATCTTTGATAGTCAATAAGAAGAATCTAAAAGAAATTTTCTACGTCAAGTTTAATTTAGGAGGCTTGTGCCTCAGGAATTTCCTTCAAATTCATTTTAACAGTCCTGATGCAGACCAATCCTATTCCTGTGAGTATTCAATGAAGCTTATGCACTAGTAAGTACGTTTAGGAGTGAACACCTACAAACCAGTCTGATGCATATTTACTTACAAGTAAGTTCTACCGATTTCAGTGACATGGGCCCAGGTTGCAGCCCCATTCTAGCTGTTTATTTATTTATTTAAAAATTCTCTGTAGATTTGATATTCTTTAAATCTAAAGAGTTGGGTTTTTGTTTTGTATTGGACTTGTGACCTTGCCGAATGATAGTTAAAACTGCATGTGAACAGGCAGTGTCAGTAGCATACCTCAAAATATATAGCATGATCTGTCTGTGTTCCTATAATAATAGCCAGAAAACTTGGTTATGTCTTTAGTGTACAAACTTTTGATGTTAATGCTAGTTTACAATATATATCCTTTGTGACTTTCAAAGACTGAGTAAGTAGCAGAACTCTGCTGAACATGTGCAAATATATACAGTTGCATTATAGAACTGACTACAATCTTGTTTGGGAACCAGAAGGAGAAGATAGGTGCAAAATCAAATAGTCACAGAGCTGGTTCACACATGAAGGTATATCGGTTTATTTCTCTTTCCTTGAGGACTGGACACTTGATGACTAGCATTTAAATGCATGAATCGCCTCCATTGAGATTTACTACCTTGAATGGATCTGAGGTGACATGAAAGTTCTGTTTATACTGTTTGACCTCTGATGGTTCATTTAAACATAAAAGTCATTGCATGACCAGGCGTGACAGCCCCAGCCCCCAGGGATCATAAGAAAGGAATAAAGGCTCTGACAACGTGTTATGGAATTAAAATTAGGCCACAACTTTATTAAACTTCCAAATGTAGGAAGATCTTGGCTTAGGCCTTGGGTGTGTATCCCTCCAAGCCCCACAGCCGGGGGAACTGGGGCACGTCAGGGTAAATGGGATATGGGGGTGCTCTGTGAGACATAAGTGTAGCAGGCAGCCCAGCCCATGAACCCCACATGCAGGGTAGTTCACTGACAACCTTTCAGTGTATGGTATAACACCCCTTTAAGAGGGGATCCTGGAATCTCCACCGTGGGGGGGGGTGAGTCACCACTTCATGCCCCCCCCCAATATAGGGAAGAAAAGACTAAAGGATTCTAAGGACCCCTGACCATTAGGTCTAGTCGTGACCGACTCTGGGGTTGCGGCACTCATCTCGCTTTAATGGCCGAGGGAGCTGGCGTACAGCTTCTGGGTCATGTGGCCAGCATGACTAAGCCTGTTAAATAGTGGGTAGACATGGCAGACGACACAGTGATTTCTCCAAAGCAGCTCTTTATTTTGTAAGCTGGAACAGAACTGAACAGCAAACAGCTCAGCCGGCCTGCTTTTATAAGCAGCCGGCTGTCAACATTGTAGCAACAACAACCCAGGGTTTCCAGCCTAAATGAACTGACGAGGACCTGAGTGAAAACTATCTACAGTATCCCCTGCTGGCCCAGGGTGAGAACTTCAGTACATAACACCCCTCCCCACCGAGATAAGGCGTTAGTTACAATCGTAATGGTTTCCTTATATACAGCACTACACGTAATGGTTCAGTTAGGCACAAAAGCATATCGGTTACATTTCCCATACTTAGACCAACAGTGATACATGTCCAACAACATAGTCCTTTAAATAAGTTGGGCGCTTGGAAAATCTGCCAGACCGCCAGGGACTGGTAGCCAAGTCCGGGGGGCCACCCAATTCTTGCTGAGGCTGTGGTGCAACCCTAGGTGGCATTGAAACCAAATCCCCTGGATCCACTGCTGTGGGTGGAGCCTCCGCAAGTGGAGTGGTCTGAGTCTGTGGTAAGTCTGGCAGACCCTCTGAAGCGGCATGGTTCGGCTCCACGCTGGCAGTTTGCGAGGGAGGTGTAGGTTTAGCCTCGCCATCTGTAAGTGTCTCTTCTGGAGCCACAAGCGCAGTTGGGGGCACCACGGTAGTGTCCAAGTCCCCAACCCTGCGCCTAAGCTGGTCTATGTGCCGGCGCCACAAGCGTCCGTCTTTGAGTGCCACCTGGTACGAGCGAGGTCCAGTGACTCCCACTACTGTGGCTGGCACCCAAGGAATGTCCCCCACATAGTTCCGGGCAAAGACCTGGTTTCCTGGAACAAATGACCGTGGCACGTTGGCACAGCCTGGGGGTTCGGCCACGGCAAAGTCCGGGTGCAGCCGGTCGAGCAGTGACCTGAGGCGGTGGCCCATAAGCAGTTCAGCAGGACTCCGCCCTGTGGTTGCATGAGGGGTGATGTGTTGCACGAACAAGTATTCGGCGACCCGCTTGTGCCAGTCTCCCCGGTCCAGGCGCGCCAGTGCCTCTTTTGCCGAGCGCACCATTCTCTCCGCTTGCCGGTTGCTGGATGGATGAAAGGGTGCCGTTAGGGCATGGCGGATGCCCAGTCCCAAAAGATACCGCTCAAAAGTGCCTGACGTGAACTGCGGTCCGTTGTCGGAGACAAGGACATCAGGACACCCATGCGTCGCAAACAGGCCTCGCAGCACCCGGATGACGGCCTCTGTAGTGGTGGAGGGCATCAGGGCCACCTCCAGCCATTTGGAATAGGCGTCCACCACTACCATAAAGGTCCGGCCGTGAAAGGGGCCAGCCGGATCGATGTGCACCCTCGACCAGGGTGTCTTTGGCGTCTCCCAGGTGTGTCCCTTAGCTGCCGGTGGTGCAGGCCTCGATTCTTGGCACGCTTGACTTGCGGACACCCAGGCAGTGATGGCATCGTCTATGTTAGGCCACCAGACGTAACACCGAGCCAACGCCTTCATTTTGACAATTCCCGGGTGGCCAACGTGCAGAGCCTCCAGGACGCATTGACGGAGTCTTTGGGGAATCATGACGTAGCCTCCCCACAGCAGACAGCCATGATGAGCCGAGAGTTCATGTTGTCTGGTTGCGAAGGGCTGGAACTCCGATGCAAAAGGCCCTTGTGGCCACCCCCTCCACACCCAGTTGAGCACACGGCTGATGGTGCGATCCTGGGCAGATGCAGAGGCCACAGTGGCAGCCGATACAGGCGCTGCTGGAAGATCCTCAATCAGGAGGAGCGATGAAGCTGGAGCCGGGTCTTCCACAAACGGTGGAAGAGGGCAACGGCTGAGGGCGTTGGCATGGCCCATCGATTTCCTCGGGCGATGGACGAGCCAGTAGTGGTAGGCAGCCAGGAAAACAGTCCATCGCAGCATGCGTGGCGAGAGGACCGGTGGAGTTGGACGATCACCGGCGAAGAGGCCCAGGAGCGGCTTGTGGTCAGTGATGAGGTCAAAAGTCCTGCCATAGAGGTATTCATGGAACCTCTTCACTCCAGCCACAAGTGCCAGTGCCTCCTTGTTGAGCTGGCTGTAATTCCGTTCCGTCGGAGATAGCGTCCTGGAAAAGTAGGCGAGTGGTGCTTCTCTTCCGTCTGGAAAACGGTGACTAAGGACAACGCCGATGCCAAAAGGTGAGGCGTTGCAGGCAAGGACCAGCGTCCTGGATTCACTGTACTGTACCAGCACACGGTCTGATGAAAGGAGAGCCTTGACCGCGTTGAAGGCCGCCGTCTCCCGATGACCCCAGGACCAAGGCATCTTTGTGCTGAGGAGTCGGTGAAGAGGCTCAGCCACCGTGGCTTTGTGGGGCAGGAACATGTTATAAAAGTTCAGCAGCCCCAGGAACACCTGCAACTCCGTCTTGTTCTTTGGGATGGGGGCCTGCTGGATAGCGCGGATCTTGGATGTGGTCGGGTGAAGGCCGGAGGCGTCGATAAGATAGCCCAGGAACTCTACCTGTGGAATGGCGATCTGGCACTTCTCCCTCTTTACCCTGAGCCCGGCCTCTTGGAACCTGGTCAGCACGGCACGGAGGCGCTCAAACAGCTGCTGGTGTGAGTCTGCGGACACCAAGACGTCATCAGAATATGGTACCGTCAGGGCTGCCTCAGGTCTCAGCTCACAAAAGACCAACGCCAATCTCTTCTTATATACAAAAGTGTTTATTGCAGTTCATTGTTTGCTTCACATCCGAGGCGCGGAGCCCCACGTCTGTTACGCTTAGACCGTAGAAGTCCCCTCTGAGTCAGTCCCTCCCCTGCACCAGTTTAAGAGGCTTGCGCTGCTCCACCTCTTCCTCTCTTTCCTTTTCCGCAGGGTCTTCCTGCCCGCTGGGGTTTCGCCCCTCCTGGATTCCCCTGACGCGGAATCCCCAGACTGCTCTTCCCCCCTCCTGCGGGCTTTGGGACCTGGCTCTTCCTCCGGGCTCCCTGTACTTCCGCGCGCCTCTACATTTGAACTTGGCGCGCGCGCCCAACCTCTAACCTTCCTTTTGACAGTTACACTACTCCCTTCACTACTCCCCTCCCCTTCCGGGAGGGTGGCTTGCTCCGACCTCCCTCCCTTCTCTGCTGCCGGAGCTGCTTCCCCTGATACACTGGAACCTCCACCCCTTCGCTGCACTCTGGCGGGAGGCTGGTCCTGACGCCCAGCTGCCACTTTGGGATCCCCGCTGGCCCCCTGTTCCTGACACGTCCCCCTGGGGCTCCCTGGCCTTGACCACCGGCGCCCCCTTCTGGGAATCCTCTGATTCGCTGGAAAGACTCATGGAATCTCTTGAGTCATTGTCATCCTCTTCCTCGCTGTCCTGGGATTCATCCCCATCGCTCTCCATCTCCTGCCTACCCTGTGCCTCTGTCCCTGAACCCCTGACAGGTACCATGCCCGGAAGCCCTTGCAGGAGACGCTCCATAAGGCTTTGGAAGATGCCAGGAGCCACAATCACCCCGAACTGCAACCGGCAGCAATGGAATGCCCCTCTGTGGGTGACGATCGTCTGGGCTTCAGCAGTGGCATCATCGACGGGCAGTTGTTGATAGGCTTGGGCAAGGTCCAGCTTAGCGAAGACCTTACCCTCACCCAGGGAATGCAGCAGGTGTTGGACAACAGGAACCGGATAAGCGTGCTGCTGAAGTGCCTTGTTGATCATGCACTTGTAGTCAGCGCAGATTCTCACTGACCCGTCTGGCTTGACAGGCGTGACGATGGGGGTTTCCCACTTGGCGTGGTCAACCGGCTCCAAAACTCCTTGGGCGATCAGCTTGTCCAGTTGTTCGTCCACCTTAGCCTTGAGAGCAAAGGGAACCCGGCGTGGCTTTAGCTTGATGGGGGCGACTTGTGGATCAAGGCTAAAGGAGATGGCCGTACCTGTATATTGCCCCAAAGTGCCGTCAAAAACCTCGGCAAAGTCTTTGACCAGACCCTCAGTCTCTGCGTTAGAGATGCAGTTGATGCCGGTGACTTCCAGGCTGAGGGCATCAAACCAGTCTAGCCCTAGGAGGCTTGGCCGCTGACCTTCGACCACCACCAACCGGAGCAGGCCCGAAAAATCCTTGAAGGCGATCCGGAACTGGCTAACGCCTACCATGGGAATGTCATTTCCCTGGTAGTCTCTCAGGTGTACGCGGTGAGAGTCGAGTTGCCTTTTGGACACTCTGGGTACCAGTCTTTTGATGGTGCTCCAAGACACGATGGACAGGGCAGACCCGGTGTCGATCTCCATGTCACATGGAGCTCCTTCAATGAGCACCGTGACATTCAGCTTGCGTCACGTAGGCGAGTCGGTTTGGCCAATCGTGGTTCCAGACGGGCAGCGGCAGTTGGTGAGAGCGAAACAGCTTTCTTTGGCAGACTGGAGTGAAGACTTGGACTTGCGAGTTGGTGGAGGGGGGGTGTCAGACGGAGCTGATTGGCAGACCTTAGCGATGTGGCCCCTTCTGGAACACTTCCTACAGATGACGTCTCTGAATTGACACTTGGCATGGGAATGGTTGCCTCCGCAGCCGGCACATTCCGGTTGGTCCTTGGACTTCTGTTGGAACTTCCTGCACTCCCGCTTTGTCTGGTGCACGTCATCATCTTCACTGGAGGATGCCTCATCACTGCTGGCCTCTTCGTGATGCACTGGAACTGGCTTCCTAGCAAGACGTGGGCTGCTGGACTTGCGGATCTCCTGGGCGGAGCGTTCAGCAGCTTCTGCCACAGCCTCCTCAATGGCTTTCTGTAGCGTGAGGTCTGGCTTGGCGAGGAGACGCCGTTGCAGATGGATGTCCCGGACCCCGCAGACGATTCGATCCATCAGGGCATCGTCTAAGTCTCGGAACTCGCAGTGCATTGCAGCCTGTCTGAGGGCAGTGGTGTAGTTGCTGATTGACTCCCCCTCTGCCTGGTTCCGGTGGTAAAACGCATGGCGGGCAGCAATCTTGGACGGCTTTGGCGCGTAGTGGTTGCGGAGCTTCTCTTGGATCGTGTCCCATGGTGTTGCCTGGACTGCTTCAGGCGCAACCAATGCTCGGGCCATCTCAAACACCTCAGGCCCACAGAGGCTGAGGAATAGGCCCCGCTTCCGTCCATTTGATACTGCTGTCAGCTCGTTGGCTTGGAGGTAGCAATCGAACCGAGCGAGGTAGGAGTCCCATGATTCAGAGGCTGGCGCAAACGGCGGTAGAGGCACAAGTGAAGCCATGATTCCGATGCCGGCGTGAAGGGCGATGGATGGAACACAGCGCTCCAGCCAGAACAGTCAGCTCTGAATTGGTTCTGTCCAGTGATATCGCTCAGTGATTTCGCTCTGTGATTCAGCTCAGTTCAGAGGATGGCCGCATCTGGCTGTGCTCTGATGTCCACCGATCCCATCCTCGTCGCCAGTGTTAAATAGTGGGTAGACATGGCAGACGACGCTTCTGGCGAACCAGAGCAGCGCACAGAAATGCCATTTACCTTCCCACCGGAGCGGTACCTATTTATCTACTTGCACTTTGCCATGCTTTTGAACTGCTAGGTGGGCAGGAACTGGGACCGAGCAACGGGAGCTCACCCCGTCGCAGGGATTTGAACCGCCGACCTTCTGATCGGCAAGTCCTAGGTCTGTGGTTTAACCCACAGTGCCACTGCTTAAGGCCATAACTGCCAAAGCTGTGACGAATTGCTATGGGGAAGACAAAACCTGCCAATGCAGGAAAATTTCTTCCTGGTCCTTCAACAGCAACCGGTCAAAGACTGTAGCAGCGCCCGCTACACAGGAAGAAAAAGTTAACCTGCAACAAGAAAACATTAAACAAAGGGAGGGTTGGGAGGGTGAATCTCCAGAGCCGACTGCTTGGCTATTGTCAGCTCCATCCCTTATTTATAAATGGGGCTGGCCCCACCTACCAGCAAGAAACTTGATTACTGAGGCTGGGCGTGAACATCCAAAAATTAACACTGAGAGGCAAGCCAGCCCCCTTCTACTATTAAGTTCCCTGGGAACTGTAGCCCCACGCGCAATCCCGCAAAGGGCACCCACATATAAAGTGTGAGTGCTCATTGCTTGATGTTGCAATCATGAAGCGATGACCATGCATGGATGCAGCAGGCCTTTGTATTAGATAGGTTCATACCAAGATACCTGATACATTTATCACTTATTTCCTTTAGACATTAGCATGAAACCCTCAGAAAAGCCATCTTACCAAAAAAAAAAAAAAAAAAAAAGGCACTTAAGTCAGCAGGGTATTGTAATGGTTCTAGGGGTTGCTCGTGCGTAAGCCGGTGCAAACACCTGGCTGGATTGCCTGAGTGAACCTTTTCTGTCCGGACAGCCACTCACCCGTGGCTGTCTCAATCGCTGGCAGAATCCGTCAGTGGGCGTTTCTTAAACTTCTTCCAGCAAAGAAGCTCTTTGACGCCTAGTCTCCGCCTACTCTCTCTGCGCGGAAGCCTTCTGCGCAAGGAGGGCGTAGGCAGCGGAGGAGCTCTACTCTCCCCGCTGGTCCCCGGCAAGGAGTCATGGGACCGCCTCGCCGCTTCCCCCATCTGCCCCCCTTCTCCACTGGTACTACGCTGATTCTCTTCCCCAGAAGATGGGCTGCCTCTCCCAATCCCGGGAAGCTCTCCGCAATCCCTCTGGATTTTGCTCTCTCCCTCCGTTACTGATGGCAGTTCCCTGACAGGTATATTACAACAACAACATTTTGTTGCAGTATGTTATCCTCTTACTGGATGATCTCACAGGGAGATCTTTGCAAAGGCCATCTTGTTTAGATTGTATCTGTCATTGTTTGCATATGTAATCCAAACACCGCAGGAGAATATGGAGCTATAACAATGAACTGAATGGGACCCTAGCTGGCTCATCAGAATGGTGTGCATTTTATGAGGAAGGTTTGCTGGAGGTTGCTGGAATGAGGCACTGTGGACATACTGTATAGGCTTTATGGAATACGGCTACATCCTGAAAATCCGTTATGGGGCAGTTCAAGCAAAAGACACATTTTATTGCCCCAAGACAGCTATAAAACAGAGCTCAGAAGTTCACATTTAATCGAATCATCCTAGTAAGAAGGTCCATTTTAAAAGCTGAAGAAAAAGCAGTGTGCTTAGCCACATTTATTATTTATTGTTATTAGTTATCAACCTTATTTGTTGCACAAACAATCTCTAAGTGACTTCCACTGGAACACGAACACACATTATGGAAATAAGCAAAATAATATAACACATTAATATTCCATACAACATATTTTTTTTGGGGGGGGGGTCAAAGAAACCCTGCGTAACAGTGATTGAAAATATTGGCAGCATACTTACAATAAACAAAACAACACTCCCACCCATTAACAGCATATAAAAACAAAACACTCAAAACCAACACCTGCTTCCTGGCCCAAAACATATGCATATAGACACAACATTATTTTTTAAAAATCTACCCACCCAGAAGTTTAGTGTCAAGCCCAGCTTTTGTAAGTCTGGGTGGTGGTGGTTCTCCGTGGATGTTACTGCATCTCTCCTCTCCTTTCAGGGATAGCAGCAGAAAAAGCAGAATAGGGAATGGTAAAAGCTTACCTATTCTGCAGTTGTTCCGGCTCCTCCTCCTCAGCTGCTGGTGTTATTCCATATTACTATATAATAAAAATATAAGGATATCGTCACAATGCAGTTTGGCTGGTGACAGGTAGGGTTACAAACTACAGCATGACAACAGAACAGAAAAGTTGGAGAGTGAGGAAGGGTGAATGTTAAGTGGGGTTGGTGAGCAAATTGACCAGAGTTAGGAACCCCTAGTACAGTGGTACCTCGGGTTACAGACGCTTCAGGTTACAGACGCTTCAGGTTACAGACTTCACTAACCCAGAAAAAGTACCTCAGGTTAAGAACTTTGCTTCAGGATGAGAACAGAAATTGGGCAGCGGCGGCAGTGGGAGGCCCCATTAGCTAAAGTGGTACCTCAGGTTAAGAACAGTTTCAGGTTAAGAACGGACCTCCAGAACGAATTAAGTTCTTAACCCGAGGTACCACTGTACTGCTATGTTATATAGCCATGGCAACTGAAGATGTTAGGTGGTGTCAGGTGACTTTAAGGAGAGTTCCCTTTATCTGTATCACATCTGGAGTGCACTAAAGGCACATCGCTGCTAATCAGGGAGTAAAGAAGCCCAGCTCTGTTACAGCGTTGACCATATATGATGGCTGCAAAATGGGCCATATCTGGGGTTCTGTGGAGAATTTTGAAAGTTTTTGTTGAGGGCTTCTGGCATGAGAGAGATGTATGAGATGGTGTGGCAACAAATGCTGGGTGACAGGGAAGGGAGAAGGGATGCGTACCAGTGCAAACTTCCCGTAATTGAGTTTAATAATAAAAATAAAAAATGTAAAACATTAGATATTAAAAATTTCCTGATACAGGGTTGCCTTCAGATGTCTTCTAAAAGCCAGATAGTTGTTTATTTCCTTGACATCTGATGGGAGAGCGTTCCACAGGGTGGGCGCCACCACCAAAAAGGCCCTCTGCCTGGTTCCCTGTAACCTTGCTTCTCACAGTGAGGGAACCACCAGAAGGCCCTTGGCGCTGGACCTCAGTCTCTGGGCTGAACAATGGGGGTGGAGACGCTCCTTCAGGTATACTGTTTGCATCATGCATGAAAATATTTGCAGTCAATAGACTATCCAGTTGGATTCTAAAAACAACAATTAAGGTCCTGGTGTTTGAAAAAAGTTCCAGGGTCCTATTATAGCTGTGTAGATTCCTTGTTCCATATTTACTGGTCAGTGCCAGAACTTAGCAAGAGAGCTGTACAGTAAGTGTACAGGAGAATTCAACATTTGCTTACATAGTAAATGTAAAATTTTGGATATATTGCTGATAGTTAGTTACTGAGCTAAGTTCGGAATGCTGGTAAAGGTAAAGGTAAAGGTAAAGGTAAAGGTAAAGGGGACCCCTGACCATTAGGTCCAGTCGTGGCCGACTCTGGGGCTGCGGCGCTCATCTCGCTTTATTGGCCGAGGGAGCCGGCGTACAGCTTCCGGGTCATGTGGCCAACATGACTAAGCTGCTTCTGGCGAACCAGAGCAGCGCACGGAAACGCCGTTTATCTTCCCACCAGAGTGGTGCCTATTTATCCACTTGCACTTTGAAGTGCTTTCGAACTGCTAGGTTGGCAGGAGCAGGGACCAAGCAATGGGAGCTCACCCTGTCGCAGGGATTTGAACCACCGATCTTCTGATCCCTTTACCTTTACCTTTCATGTGGCAATACTTACCCTTTGGAATTATCTCCTGCTACATAAGAGACAGACACTGCCTCTAATGTTCTGTTTTGGCTCCTGTTGAAGACCTTCCTTTCTCAATGAGCTTTTTAAGTGGCAATTTTTATCCCTGTCTGTATTTGCACTGGATTTCAAAGTGCTTTTAATATATGAAATTGTTTCAATGGTTGTTTTTTTATATGCAATTGTTTTTATTGTTGATGTTTTTCTTGTTAAATCATTTCGAGTTATTTTACAGGAAGTGGTTCATGAAAGGAATTAAATGAATAAATGCATACATTTGTTTGTCTGTAAGTACTGAGCCATTTAAATAATTGAAATAACACTACAGGAATCCAAATGCTTTGGTTTTCCTCCTTGTTTCTCTGACATCTAATGGCTGGCTGGTTTAGAAAGGAATTTTGCCAGACCGTTTGAGAAGAAGCAATTCTTCCTCTGTGTTCCTTTAAATGAGTGGGCCTTCCTCCCCCCCCCCCATGATGAGGCTTCTTCTGCTCTGTAATTGTCTCAATTATTATGATGTCACAATGGCAAATGAAAAATAGTAGTGGGTAACTGCTGCCATTTATTTTTATTTTTTGGTTGGTGA